CCGGACAGCTGGTGTGGCAGTTGGTGCTGTAATCATAGGCTACTAACCCTACTGCACTGCCTTGCCCAGAAGACTGGGGCAGAACCTCCTCACATGACCAAGATCTCCTCACTCGAAACAACCTCCCGGTATGCCGAACTGCGGACCTGAAGTCTGGCCCTGATGGCCTGAAGGCCCACTGGAGGAACTCTGAATAGCTGGTGGACGGTACGAGCTCTCTGGAATGGCGCTAAAATAAGGCCGCACTGGAGCACCCCCGAGGAGGCGACGGTGCTGGATATGAGGGCCTGCTAGACTAACCCCCTCACAAACTGACCCCAGCCCCCAGCCGGGGCACCACTGAACTCTCCAGAATATCGAAATCGCTTATCCCTCATCGCCTGCTCTCGGCTCTGCTGACGGACACCCTCGATCCTTCGAGCTATCTCCAAAACTATCTCGTAAGAAGTCCCCACCTCAACCTCTCGGGCCATGATGGCTTGGATACCAGAGTGCAAACCGGTAACAAACCTCCACACTCTCTCTGCATCGGTAGGAAGTATCATAAGTGCATGGCGAGACAACTCAGAGAATCTCGCCTCATAGTCGATCACTGACATCTGGCCCTACTGGAGCTGCTCGAACTAAAACCGCAACTCTTCCCTCTGAGAGGGTGGAATGTATCTATCGAGGAAGAAACGTGTGAACTGGTTCCAAGTCATGGGAAGAGAACCTGCTGGTCTGCCGAGAAGATAAGACTGCCATAGATGCATCTATTCTACTACCGAGGCGTTCGACCCGCTCCACAAGAAGAGAGGATACTTTATAAACATCCAATTTATTAGCTATTACAAGGCTAATACACAAAGAAACACAATTTTTATTAACGGTCAAGTAACCCGCCAAAACTCAAGTAAGTAAAATTCGGTCTTTTATAATTCCTCTATCAAGTTCCAATATAATTTAGGCACTTTAATTAACAAGTAGGATACAAACATTATAAATATTTTAAGATTTGGGTCCTAAACTACTCGGATATAAGCATAATTAGTAGCTACGCACAGACTCTCATCACCTCGTGTGTACGTAGCCCCTACAATTAGAAATAAATAGTAATTTAAATCACCTATGGGATAAATTCCCTCTTACAAGGTTAGGCAAGAGACTTACCTCGTCTCAAAACTCATTTTCCAGCCCACAAATTCGTTCTAAAGCCTCAACTAGGTGCCGAACAATCCGAAACTAGTCAAAAATTATGTAAATTAATCAATACATGTTCAAAAGTTTATAATTTCACTATTAGAGTAATTACCCAATCCAAATTGGAAGATTCCTAAAATTCTCCACCAGGCCCACATGCCCGGATTTAGAAAATTTTCGAAGGTAAATATTACCCATAAACTCACGAACTCAAATATATAATTTTTACCCAATTCCACAATTATTTTTGTAGTTAAATCCTATTTTTATCCAAAACCTAGGTTCTCCAACTAAACCTATAATTTTCATAATTTTACATGTTAAAATCTATCCATCATTTATGCTTTAAACTTATATTGTATAGAAATCACTTACCTCAAAGTGCTAGGTGAAACTCCCTTCTCAAAGAGCTCTATATTCGACCAACAAGTGAGAGAAATGAAGAAATCTACCTAGCATGTTTTTCGCACCTGCGACAGGATCTCCGCTTCTGCGGGACCGCTTCTGCGAAATATGCACGACCCATGACCTCTCGCACCTGCGGTCAAGTCCCGCATCTACGAGCCCGCTTATGCGGTTCGCCTCGCGCACCTGCGACCATGGCCAGGCTGCCTCTCTCCGCATCTGCGGACCTATTCATCGCACCAGCGAGTTCGCTTATTTGAAAATGCTTCGCTTCTGCAGAGCTCGCTGACCCTTCCTCTTTCTGCTTCTGCGAGCGAGGCGACGCATCTGCGGTACCGCTTCTGCGGCCATTCCACCGCAGGTGTGAACGCACCAGATGACAGGTACCAATAGCTCTTCTCCCAAGAGCAAACAAGCTCTGTCGAATCTCCGAATACTATACAGGGGCCTCGAGGCCTCGACCAAACATACCAACAAGTTCGTGAATATAAAACAGACTCGCTCGCACCTTGAAAATGCGGAAAACAACATTAAAATTGAGAATCACAACCCAAAACCAAATAGAATCAACTTATAAACTTCAAGTCCTTCCAACTTACTCCGAACGCGCCGAATCATACTTAATCTACTCGGAATGACACCAAATTTTGCACGCAAGTCTTAAATAATCATACAGAGCTATTCCCAGGCCCGGAATTCCAAATGGACCTCGATAACTCCAAAACCTACTCCAAACAAAATTTAAAGAAATTTAAAACTTTCAATGCGCCAACTTTCAACTTTATGCGCCGAAACGCTTCCGGGTTATCCAAAACCCGATCCGAACACACGCCCAAGTCCAAAATTATCATACGAACCTATTGGGACTGTCAAATCCCGATTCCGAGGTCGTTTACTAGAAATATTGACCCAAGTCAAACTTAACTTTTAAAAGTCAATATTGAGGAACTAAGTGTTCCGATTTCAACCTGAATCCTTTCAAACCCGAACTAACCATCCCCGCAAGTTATAAAATAGTAAAAGCACATACGAGGAGTCTTATTTAGAAGAACAGGGATCTAGAAAGCAAAACGATCGGTCGGGTCGTTACACACACACATATATACATATATATTATGATTCAAGCATAAATTTAAAACAATGTTTAAACTTTTTGTGCTCATTGAGATAAAATACGTGCGCAACGCACGTATCATGAGACTAGCAATAATAATAAGCGAGAAGAAAGAGAAGCAAACAAAAAAAATGAAAATAAGTAAAAAATGCAGTCCCGAAGGAGTTAAAACAGGCAAACCTTTTTGTTTCTGTACGTCTTTCCTTTTCTTTATTTTTCTATTCTGAAAATTAATATTGGAAAAATTAATATGAAAGGTTATAATTATGTTAACTTGTCCAAATAAGGAAAGAGTTTATATAGAGTAAAGTTCTAATCAATTTTAATTTTGGACTTTCTACATATTCAGACAAGCAAAAGATTTAATATTTATAATTTTAGTTGATTTAAAGCTCCTAAATATTAGGAAAAAACTTAAATTACACTTTTGTCTAGTATGCAATCTATTTTTAAAGAGCAAAAAAGACGAACAATATTTCGCTAAGGGCCTTTGTGCTTTTAACATATATATATATATATATATATATTCTTTTTTTTTTTTTTTTGAAAGAGGCTAAAAATATATATATTTCTCCTATTTTAATTGGGTTATTATTTATTAGACTGAAAATAAAAAAAAGTGAAATAAGAAAATACGACCAGAAAATTGTATTTTTCGGTCTCAGTAATTTTTGTGTGAGTTAGTGAAAGTTTTATAATTTTTGTGCTAAAAAATAAAATTATATTACTTTAATAAAAAAAAGTCATAATTATATTACCATTTATAAAATTTACGCATCATCATTTCATCTAAAAATGTCGATTCAATGTGTGGAGATATCAGTACTAGTCAGTCGGCGATGCTATGAGTTAATTCCAAGGCTGTTGAGGTGTTTCCTGCTATAGAAGAATTAATTTAAATATATGTCAACCCAATCGCTTAAACGAAAAATAGTTAGCGAAAATGTATATAAACCATGAATAACATATGTATAATCATTTATAATTAATGTATTATTTAGATATACCAACTAAAAAAAGTAAACAATGAATTCAGCCGATTACTTAGATAAGTACTTCCTGTAACATTGCTCATTAAAAGTCATGAAATGATGTTCTTACTCAAATGTGTGTTTCTTTGTGCATCTAAGAGTGTTGCTGATGAAGCTGGAATAATGATTACTATATGAGACTAGAATTTAAATCTTAGCAGATCCAGAAAAGTTTAACTCCTTTATAGTTACCTAAAATTTGGTGCACAGGGTTATTCCTGATGGAATAATAGCTGAGCTGATTCGATCGAATACCTATATTATCAAAAATTAAAATAGAAAGTGTATGCTTTTACTGTGGAAATGCACTTACATCTGGAAAGAACATATCCGCAAGGGGTGAATAACAGATTGCCACGTTCACATCGCAATAAGTTCTCTATTCTTGTTGGAGGTCCACAGAGGAGAAATATATTCCCCTTTTGCTCAACAATATTCTCTTGCCACTTGAGACAGATATGGATTTTTCTTTTCTCTCTTTATTATTTTTTCTCTCTAACAATGTGTTCTTTCATAAGGAAATTATTAACGAAGCTTTACTAGAAGGAAACATCATCAGTTTCAACTTATGTTGCTGCTCGTCTGGATATTTGGAATATTTTCTCAATCCATCTTCCTTTTATTGTCAATATGTTTTCTTCCATATATGCCAGACAGTTCTATTTTGAGATGACTTGACAAAACTAACAATCGAAAGTTGGAATTATAGATCATTGTAAGAAGTATTTTAGGATAAAGAAGAAGAGGTAAGATAGAAACATGCACCGCAAGTTTAGTCCTATAAGAAGGATGAATGAAAACGCAAGATTTAACACAAAGCAAAGGCCTGTCCTGTAGAATGGTGACCAATACCATTTTATGAATTAGGTTAAAAAAATCCATTTGATGAATGTGGCAATAATGTAAATGTTAAGATTGGATAATATTGAAGATGGTCATATATGACGAAGGGTACATTGCAAACATAGAGAATAACAAAAATAAGGTCAGTTGAGATAGTTTGGTTATGTTCTACATCAATTTTAAATCGTTTAGTCTTGCGATGCGGATCCATAAAGACGGTACCAACTTGTTTGTACTCGTTACCCTTGCACTATGTCTGGTGTTCACCGGGAGTCTTTTTGTTCCATATAAAAACTTATATGTACATGCAATAATTACTGCAAGATTAAGATAATCTTACTTTTGACGAAACCTTGATTCACCTAAAAGACAACTTATTTAATATCGGAATGAAATATACTTGAATAAAGCCGAATGGAAACAATGAATTCATGTAAGCGATTCTAATTAGATTCATATAACCGACTCCAATTAATTGATTTAATGACAGACAGATGATCAATGGACGCCAAGCAATAAAGGAAGCATGGTAGAGTGCAAGATGCTGGCAAGCCTTTAGTAGACAAAGGGACAAAAGAAGAAGATTCTTCGTTGCTAGCTATGACACTAATCATAAGCTTGTTCTCAAGAGAAGCAAAGCATATTATCCAAGATAGATGAAGAAAAGTTATGATCCATCATCTACTTAAGGGGTTTATTCTATTCAAGATAGTAGAAGACAGAAATACACATAGCTGACAGTACAAACATGACTACATGAAACGCGGTGGAGGTGGAATTATGAATGCAGAAAAACTCATGGCCTCGTTTGATTCATGGCGATTCTTCTCATGCACTTTTCTTATATAATCGGATGCCCTCCCATCTACACTGTTCTTCTCATGAATTACATGCATGGATTTATCATTCTTGACTGGTTCAATCAAGTAGGCAATCGGCTTCTTGATGTTTACTGGCTCCTGTGACCTTAAGCTCTCAGGAAATTGTGCTGTTGTTGAGCCTTTGACGAATGTTGCAGGTCCTGTTACAGGCGTTTTCACGGTTTCTGGTTGCACCTGAATTCCAAGGCTCATCCTGGCAATAGATAATGATGATAGCCTGATCACATTTGTTACCATCTTTATTGACTTCTCACAGAGGGACTTGTTGCTTCTGCTTTTGTTGCTCATGGCAAATAATGAGCTACAGATTCTAAGAGGGACTTGTTGCTTCTGCTTTTGTTGCTCATGGCAAATAATGAGCTACAGATTCTAAGAGGGACTTGTTGCTTCTGCTTTTGTTGCTCATGGCAAATAATGAGCTACAGATTCTAACTGCCAGATGCTTTCAAGAACAGATAATGTGATTGCATAACAAGCCAAACCCTATATATATATATAAGTATAAAGGTAAAGAACCTCAGCTGATTTCTCATTTGTGTTATAAAAAATGACTGGAATCTCCCTTAAGTTTCATCAATCCTAAGAGCTGCTTTATTAGTGGCTAGATCCTTCTCTTCTATGCAATAAGATGTTTTCTCTAATTTTCTAGTTGTCCAAATGGAACTCAGAAGAATAAGGGAATCTATGCTGCTCACCAGTCTACAAGCAAATATATTAAACTTTGGATAAGAGGGTAGTTCTTGAAGCGATTCCAACTAAAGTGGAACTTTGGTCAATTTTCATATTAAGATAAATTTGGAAACTTTAAGAAATAATATAGCTATCCACGTGATTAACAAGGTCTTACCCCCCCCCCCCCAA